TATAATAATATATAATAAGAAAAATATAAGGAATAAATGTAAAAAAAAAATCCAAATGTATAATTTCTAATTATTTTTATATACAAAGATCTTTCATAAAAAAATAGAATTATTTTATTTTGAGTAAATAATTGAATAGAAAATGTAAATTAAATATTAATTAATAACTGTATTAAATTATTATAATAACATAATTATTATTATAATGTACAATTCTTTAGAAAAATCATTTTTCTGAAATATTTTATATTTAAGATTTAAAATATATTGAATTAAAAATTTAAAAAATTTTTAATTGTAACTAATTTAATATTAATTATAATCAATAGACATACAAATCATATCCCTGTCCGTGAATATTACATTCTGTTTGTGATCTTTGCTTTTGTAAATACTCTCTATAACATTTACTGCAATAACCTTCCCATTCGGCATTTCCATAAAATCCACAACCATTTTTACATTTAAGATCAGCTTCATCAATTCTTAAAGTGGGTGTTTTTGTTGAATACATTTTGAAAAAATTTTTAAGTTCGTAAGTTTTTTTTGTATATAATATTGATCTTTAATCAATAGGTTAAGCAAAGAAGATAACAAAGTTAATCACATATTGATGTCTTTTAAACGAATAAATTTTAGAGTAAATTAAAGAGAGAAAATAATGAAAAAGGATAGAGATAAAAATTATGAATCAGCGCCATCTCTAGAGTGTTACAGATAAAACAAAATATGAACAAAGATAACAAATAATAGAGATAGGGTAAGAATTGCTCTATTTCTGAAAGACATTTTTTTTTAAACGCAAGATAAAGTAGAGAGCCAAAAACATTTTAAAAGAGATGGTGTTTAGTTTTTATCCTATCTTTATCTTTTTCTACTATTTGTTTTTCTTATTTTATTTTCATTTGCGGCACTCTAGAGATGGTACTAATTTTATATAATATTATTATTATGTAAAATAATTTTATAATTTTTATTTTATTCTTATTTTTTTCACTATTTTCATTCTTTATTTTTTTTTTTATTTATATTTGTTCTTAATAAAACAAAATAAATAAATATATATTTAACAATATATTTAAAATGAATATAAAATGAATATTATAAAAATGAATATTTAAAAATTATATTTAACATCGATTTCTGTCAAAATTAGAAAATGATTCAATCTCTTTTTCGTTCTTTATATAAAGAATAAATATATATATTGATGATATTTTTAGAAAATTAATTTTAAAGACCAAAAAAAAAACAAAAATTCATACAATAAAAATGAGGTTTATTAAGTTTGTTTTTAGATGAAATAAAAACAGAATGTACTTCATTTAAGAGAAATTTAAATTGCTTATCATTTAATAAATAAATCTGAACCAATATTTTTATATGTCAATTTTTGTATTTATTTTGACTTTTAGAATATTTTTCCCAAAAAGTATCCCAAAATATATTAATGTTTTGTATAAAATATTTTATAAAAATTGATTTTATTTTTAATAAAATATTTATTTTTTCGAATTTTTTTTATAGTAATAATTAATCATTATTTATTATTTGCGTATTATTCATTGTAATTGAAAACTATATAATAATTATAATTTTTAAGACTTAAAATTGAAATAAAATATATTAATTTTCAACACATATGTTAAAAAATACAAATTTTTTATTATTTTATAAAATTATTTAATACATATATAATTTATATAGATATACTCCATTTTTAAAGCTTACTTTAATATTTTTTTGACATATTAATTAGAATTTTTTTTAGTAAAATCATAGAAAATATAATTATAAATATAATTTCAAATTTTGCCGCGCTTTTTATTAAGGTTATTAAGAGAAATGTTTTCGCTATTTAAAAAAGAACAAGGGTTTTAGTTTGTTTTCTCATTTAAAAAGTAAAGAATTAAATGTTTTTTATATTTTGTTAAAAATTTAAAATATATATGACAAAATGATGCATTGTACAAAAATGTTAACTCTTAAAAAGGTATATATTTTATTTAAAATAATAAAAGATTTTAATTAACCTAGTAGTTAAAAATTATTTTTGTATTATTATTAATTTTAATCTTATCTTAAGATAAAGATTATAAATATAAAAGATATATATTAAAAAATATAAACATTATAATGTTTTTATTGATTTTATTTTTTTTATTTATGATAATAATATTATATATTATTTTTATATTTATGGTATAATAATTATTGTAAATTTTCTTATCATGATTTTTTATTTATAACATCTAATTAAATTAATTTTTCTTTTTAATGTATGGCCTCTAAAATATTTATGATAAAAGATACCTTTGTCGTCCACATTAAAATATATAACAGAATATAAATTTATCAATAATAGCAATATATATTTTTTAATAAAACCTCAATTTCGTCATTTTTATAAAAATGTACATATAAAAAATGTATCTAAAAATTTAATTAAACCAATAAGTCCAAGTGGAATATTTAAAAATTTATTACATAGGTTTGATCTTTTCAGGCAAAAATATGTAAGTATAATTATATTATGAATTTTATAATGTTAAATAATAAATATATATTAAACATTAATACAAATTTATTTATATTTTATTGTATTTTAGTATTTAAGTGGATTAGGCTATTTATTATATGATGACATTCCTAGAAATCTTAATTATTCAATATTTTTTAAAGGTATGTTTTTGATTTTAATATTTTGACATCATTTAATTAGATTTAATAAATTGTTGCATGATTAAATTATTTTTATTTATTAGGTTTTAATATGCCAGATACATTTTTCTCTTGGTTTTTAATCACAGAATTGCATGTTTGGATGTTAATGGTACGTTTTATGGCTGAAGGAGAAAAAGGTAAAGTAGTTGTAAAGAATATTGTCGAAGCCATGTGGCATGATGTTCTTGCAAGAGTAGAATTACTTGGTGTAAGTATTTAAATTATTTATTATCATTGAATTACAATTTATATAAGTATATTTATTTCATATAAAAGTTTTATATTTTAAATTTTAAATTTTATTTTTATTTTAATTTTAATTTTTACTAATCAATTTATTGTGTAAAATATATTTATTTCTTTTTTTAGCCAATTGCTCCAAAAGTGAAAAAGGAACAATTAATGGAATTAACATATCAGTTTAATGCTGCTGTAATTGGTTATGATGAAGGAATTATGTCAGATGATAAAATATTAGCTAGTGCATTATGGAGAAGGTTTTTTTCTTTAGAATGTAACAATCCAGAACATCTAGAAAAACTTTTAATTTATGTTAGAAAACAGGTAATGAAAATATTTTTATTTTCTTATGGCATATTATATAATAATATGATTATTTTGCTTTTAGATTAGTGAATTTGATAAAATTCCACCTGAAAAAGTTTTCCAAAAATCAATAGTAAAATGGGTAGATTTGTAAATTATCAAGTGAAATTTATTAATATTTCTGAATGAATTTGTAAATTTTAACTAGTTATAATTTAATGCAACAAATATATTAAATCTATATATCAAAATTTCATCTTTTATTTCAATTATATTTAATAATTAATAATATAATTAATAATAATAATTAAGTTATTAAAGTATTACATAATTTAGTTTCTGAACCTACAATTATATGACATAAATATTGTTTTTTACAATTTAAATCACAATTTTCTTGCAATGAAAGTTCTGCTTGTTTGTAAAAATTCCTATAATAACAATAATATAAATAAATTAATGAAAACAAATTATATAAAAAATATATAATTTTATATTTAATATTTTATTTTAACTGTATCATACCTATAATATTTGTTTAATAATGTTTCATTCTTTGCTGCTATAGAGAGCCAATCACTTAAAGATTTGGCAGATAAATCAATAAGGTCATATTCTTTTTTAAAGGAATATGATTTATACCAGATTGGTCTAACATGGATATTTTTATTGGCAAAACTGAGATCATACATCCAATTTTGGTAATCAATTACTGCCTGCAAGAAGGAATTAATATATTCTTACACCAAATTAAGATAAGTCTATAATCATTTACATAATTATATTTATTTAATTTAGATTATTTTTTATTATAAATAAATAAAAAATTAACTTACATAACTACTACAATTCACTATATATATTTTATAATTCGGATTCAATTTTGAATAAGCTGTTATGCTACCACCATTCCAACCAATATGTTTTGGTTTATCAGAATTATAAAATATTGCTATTTCATCATTATGAGTATGTCCATTAAATTCAGCTTTAATTAAATGGGAGAATCTATCAATTATTCTTAAGTATTCTCGTTTCCATGTCTTAAAACAATTATTACTATTAAAAGGTATATGGGATAAAATATGTACAAATTCATTATTCTTTTCTGCTTCAGAAAGAATATTTAGAAGCCATTGCAGTTGATTATCAGGATCTTTTGGATTATACCAAAGCCACCTGAATAAATAAACAAATAATTAAAAAATATATATATATAAAATGAATTATAATTAAAATAAATTATAAAATAAAATTTTGAAATTAATAATTATTTTTTAAAAAATTTATTTTTAATAGTAATTATTAATAGCAATTATTACTATTATTATTTTATTACGATTATAAAATCATAATATTTATTTCACATACCAATTGTAAGAGTAACAAATATTACTATTTAAGGCTATAATTCTAAATCCTTTTTTTGGGATAACAGTATAATATCCCCCTTGAAGTATTGTAGAACGCGTAGATTCTGGTAACCAACCATATCCAATCCATAAATTTGCCATTAATTTATAAAGCCAATTTGTAGTTAAATTATCTTGTGTTATATTTTTTGGTGCAAATCTATATTTAATTTAAAAATTTTATATGCAAATGATTCAATTACTAAATTAAAAAATATAAAATCAAATGTTTAAAAAAAAAATATCCAAAAAGATTTTTCAAAAATCAAAAATAAAAGGCATATTGATATCTTTCGATTATAAACATATAATTTGCAAAAAATTTATTTTCTAATAGTAAAATCAATTTTTCAAAATTAAAATTTCACTAAACTTACTGATTTAAAGGATGTGGTTCATGATTTCCAAGTACTGGATACATTATAGTATTGTTAAAAAGATTATGAATGTAATCATACATTTTTATAAGACTTTGAATATTTCCTTCCTTTGATGTCTCCCATACTCCATGATCTATTATATCACCAGTAAAATATATAAAATCTATATCCTAGAAATTAAAATAAATTTCATTTAAATTGTGATATAAATCTATATCTTATAGTACTTGTAATTTGTTAAGTACATCTAAACTTATGAGCAACAGATTCTATATATTAATATAATAATTTTAAAAAAATTACTAATACTAAAATAAAAAAAAATGAAATTTTTAAATAAAAATTAATAAATTTTAAATTTTATGTTTAATTAATCATTGTCTGGATTTTATTAATCTTTTTTTATTGAATTATTTATAATTTTGGTACCTGATGTGTATCCTTCATGTGATGTAAAGCATCAATAATTGCATGCCATGGAGTATCACAGGATCGATAATCTCCCCAAAATCCAGCAAATGAAGATATATCAGTTTTATTTTGATCTTTTCGGCAGCAAACTGGTTCTCCACAATTTGCATTATTATTTACTTCATAGAGAGGATCATAATGCAGATCCGTTATTTGTAAAATTTTAATTTGTTCTTGTGTTTCATTTTCAGTAATTGTTATATTAAAATTGTTATTAATATCAATATTCCAATCAAATTTAGAATCATTTAAAGGACAAGATTTAGATTCCAGGACAACACCACAAATTGTACTAGCTGTTAAATTTGGTTTGGAATCTATTATATACAAAATAATAGGCTACAAAAATAAAAAATTATGATAATCTATAAATAAAATTAAAATATTTTGATAAATAAAATGATAAATAAATAGTTAAATATAAAGCTTAATTACCAAGTTTGATTCAATAACTCCTCTACATACTCTTTCTGTTTGAATGTTTAAAAGCACACATAAATTAATTACATTGTTTTTTATATTTTCTTCAGACATTCCTTTATGTCGTAAATTTATAAATGTTGTTAAAATTGTTTTACATATTATACATATTTTAGTACTTGAATTAGCTGGGAAAGATCTCCAATCAGAATTTTGAAGTTCCATGGGAATCTTTAAAAAGTTAATCATATTCTTGAACAATTCTCCTTCATGGTTTAAATTTGTCCATAATTCAATTTCATTTGAAAATGAAATTACATCTACATCTGTTAATAAATAAATTTTTTATTATTTTTATTAAACAATTCAAAAAAAATAATTAATATAATAAATAAATAAAATAATAATAAATAAAATAATTTTCTTAAAAATTTTAACTAACAAAAGAAAATTAAAATTTATAAATTACATTAAATTTATGAATTAAATATAATTCTTTAAATAATATTTTATTAATTTAAATACAATATATGTTTATTAGAATATTATTCAATTAGAAAATATTATTAGTTTTATTATTATTCGTAATTATAACATATATTGTATATAACATATTTTTATTAAAAAATGAAAATACTTTTATTTTCTTAATTTATTTTTATTTATTTAAATAAATAATTTATTTAAATTTATTTTTATTAATTATAATTTACTTTAAATTAATTATTTTATCTCACCTTCTATATTTAAAGCGGAACTATTAATAATTAAAATTAATAAACTCAAAATTAATTGTTGCAACATTTTGTTTTTCCACTTCAATTCAATTCAATACTACGTTTAATTCAATGTTTCCGTTGTTTCCCCCTTTTTTTTTTATCTTGTTTGAATATTTTTTTACTGATAAATGGTGCAATATTTTCTTGAAATGATTATTCTCTGATTTTAAAAATAAACATTCAATATTAAGAAATATAATTAAAATTTAAATAATCTTATATACTAGACATTACATCTAAAATTTTAATATATTTAAAAAAGTAATATATATATATATATATTATGTATTATCAAATTGTTAGAAATTCTAATAATAAAATTAAATTCTTCAAAATTAAGAAATCTATAAATATAGAATAATTTCTTCTGTTAAAATAATATTTTCGAATAAATCAATATTGAAAATTAATAAAGGTATTAATATTTGTAACATTATAATATATAATATATAATAAAATTAAACTATTTTTTATTTAATATATATAATTTTTTACTAGATTAAAAATTATTCTATTCATTTTTTTTTTCGTATATTAAATATGATCGCGTTGATAATTTGACATATTTTAAAAATTTGCAATATTCTTTTCTTATAAAATTATTTGTTTTAATTTTTTCTGATTTTTTTTTTTTTATATGTTATTTTACATTTTTCACGTGCATTGATATAAAAAATTTTTTAAAATTTTGATTGTTTGAAGTTGATTTATTGACAAGTTAGAAAATTAATATAAAAAAAATCATTATTTTATTAAATTTATTTTATTATATTAAATTTCTTAATTAAATTTATAAATTAATTAATTTTAAAATACTAATATTAATGATAAAATTTTTCATTAACTGTATCGATAATATTAATATTAACAATTTGTTATTTTCATAGAAAAATATCAATATATTAGAATATGTTATATATTAGAAAATAAAGAAATTATTTCGCGTGCTGAAACGAAATTTGTTTAAAAAAAAAATAAAGAGAGCAAATTTTTATAATAAATAGATAACATTGGAATATCATATTTGGAATATCAAAAATTATTTTCAAAAAATTTAAAATTTAGATAAGAAAAAATAAGAAAAAAATTAACTTTTTTAGATTAAAAGATTGTAAAACAAATAAAAAAAATTCAATTATCAATATCAAGAAGAAATTAGAGAAATTTAAAAATAAAATATATAAATATAAAAAAATATTTATTTACAGAAATTTAATAAGTCTACATTTAGTCGAACACTTATCAATAAATTAATAAACTTTATACAAAAACTGTTACAAAAAAATTTACTAATGTTTTAAAAAAAATATAAACAAGAGCGAAACAAAACTAGAAATTCTCTTATTAAAAGTTATAAAATTTAGAGACTAATTTTGATGTTAAATGTTTTGAAGAATATTACATTATATGCAATTTTATTTATAAAAAATATAACATAATTTTCAATTCTTCGTGTTTTTTTTCGATTTAATTAGATTGAAAAATGTTTCGTTTTATTATTTTTATAATAATAAAAAAAATTAAAGTATTATTATTATTATTATTATTAAATATTAAATACATATATTTTTATTGTTTTTTTAAAATATAACACTATACATAATTAAAAAAAGACAAAGTATATTGTGCAATATTTGTTTGAATTTTGAAATTTATTATCATTTATCGATTGATATTGCTCAAGTATATTTGAAAGATTTTTATTCTGATAAAATCTGATATCTAATTGCGACAAAAAAAATGTGATTTATTTATATTATTTTTTTTTAAATTATTTATGTCTGTACTTCT